CCTTGGAAAAGCGTCAATATGTGACGACATGGGAGTGAGAATGGGTTGAATTATCTGATGAACGTGACATGCACTTGCTGTCTGTAAATAAAGCAAAGCCACTTCCTCGTCCGACATTAAACAGAGCCCGACAGAGGAGGGAGGGGCAAGGAGGCTGTTGCCGTGCAGCGCTTCAAGAACTGACCTGCGTCTGACCTCAAAGTGCACAAGCGACCAACGTCAGTGTTGGCTGCGATTTTGAAGCTGAAATCGCGTTCGGTGTGAACGCAGCATAACGTTTTAGACAGTGTTGAATGAGGTTAAGTGGTTTCATTAAGAACATGTAAAGTTTGTTGTAATAACAGAGGGGAATGAGCTGTTAGAATCTGCTTATTGAATTTTACTGTGGTGAACGGCTCATACAGGAGTTGTTTCATGTGAGTCATTTGATTTTGTGATGACGCTTTCATTTCAAATGTAAATTACTGTCAATTGTATTTCAGTCTCAAAGCTCAGCAGCCTCAGAGAAAGTAAGTCCGTTTGTCTTTTTTGTTCTTTTGCCCCTTCCTAACACACACATATGATTTGTAGCAGTTCAAATAATCTGCTTTTGCCCTGATGAGTCTTTTGCTCACTGTTTCTGTCTTTATATTGATTTCTTTAAAGTCTGGAAGTAATTCTGCTCATATTTCTGGCATTAACAGAAAATGGGGAAGTAATGGCTTTCTTGCTTTAATTAAAATTTCAAGTAAAAATATCCAGCAAAGTTTCTTAATTTTGTTGCATCATGTCTGTCTTAGTCCTGTTTGACCRCACTACACTAATTTACTGTCAGCTGAAACTTATCTTTAGTGTTGCTTCCTGTTCTCTGTAAACAGCTTATAATGGACTCTAAGAATTCTGCTTTATTATTATTATTATTTTAAAATTTATTTGCTGTATTTTATTTTACATTTTTATTCTTTTTTATTATATATCTATATTTCACCTCCTAAAAAGTGTTGAATTATTAGATTGACCATTTCGTAGTTAGAAATTTAGCACAAATGCACATCGCGAAGCCTAGCTCTGGGTAAATGCTGAGGTAGCTTTATCAAATTGCCTTTGTAATTGTGCAAATTCAACAAGCTCCAAAAGCACATTTATAGCTTAGATGTTTATGAAAATTCTCATCTACGATCCTAAAGGAAAGTTTAACACAAATCAGTTTAGAGTAAAAAACATCAGGGCTGTAAAAAGGCGTAATGTTGAATTTGTGCAGTTATGTTGGTGTTTCAACCTCAGCCCTTTTCCCGATAAACGCATGAGGTCGGCTCGCTTTGCGCATAATTTCTAACTACGAAATGGTCCAAAGACTATCTTTTTTTATTGCAATTCAGCTGGAAAATATCCCAAATGTATTGAAAGTTTAACCAAAATACAACCAAAGATGCTTCATTTCAACAGAACATTTAGTAGCTCAGTAAAGTGCTTAAATATATCTCCAAATGTGACTTATATAAAGTGAAATAAAGTATCTGTGTTTTACTAAATAAACGTACATCACTCAATATGAACTTCAAAAAAAATATATATTTTTTTAATAATCATTTCATGAAATGTAAAGTGTAAAACTATAGTATTGTATTGCAGTCCTCCTCTATTTCAGTGGTTCCCAAAGTTTGGGTCGGGATCCCAATGTGGGTCAGCAAACACCAAGCAGGGAGTCTTAAGACCTGCAGGAATTGGTTTACAGTTAAATGATTCAGTAACTGTTTATTCACTCGAACCAGTTATAGTCAGAGTGACGAGTTTCTTCAGCTTTTATTTTGTGGTTTTAAATCTGAAAAGTTTCAGAAGCCTTCCTCTGTTTGACTCACTGACTAATGAAGATGAGCACAAGCAGAAATGGAGGACTCRGTTATTGCTGAGTCATGTTTGTTTCAGACAGATGTCATGAAGTTGGAGCCTGTAGTTATTAGGAGATAGTAGGAAGTCAGTCAAGCTGTCATACTGTCAGCTTTAGATAMGGTTMACTTTGTCACAGTGAAGGTTTTTWTTCCTTAGCTCTTATATCAGGAGGCTTCAGTTATTCATTTTCCAGGMTGAGATAAGACAGTCTAGATAAGTGGTGTCCAATCCTGGTCCATGAGGACCATTACCCTGCATGTTTTAGTAATCCCAACTCTTCAAGTTCTGCAGAAGTCTGGTAATCACTCATTCATACAAATCAGGTGTGTCAAAGCAGAAAAAACAACTGAGGACAGTGGCCCTCAAGGACCAGGATTGGGCACTCCTGGGCCCATATTTATCAAACTTCTTAGAATTACTCTTAAGAATGTTGCTAAGAGTGGAAGTCAGTTATCAAGCATCTCAGTCTAACTTTAAGTGAAGTGTAGGAGTAATTCTTAAGTGTCAGTCTTAGAGCTGATTTGTGACACCTGGCTGTGCCGTAAAGCTGATCCTTTTTGTTTTTGATATTTATTTATTTATTTTTTTTTACTTTTCTTTCTTTTGTATTTCTGATTAAACCTGTTTYCCACCTTATAACTGAGAATWACACTCAGGTGGGGAGGAGGACAGCTGTAATCTCTGTCTCCTCAGTCCATCTCAGACCCCTAGTGGCAACTCTTAACCACTTAAGAGTCCTCTGGAGCAGTCTGAACTTTTCTTGAGAGTAAGAGTGATTCTTAGACTTAAGAATTTTGATAACTGGCACTTAAACTTAAGTCTGAGAGTAGGAGAAAATCTAAGAAATTTTCAGCACTTAAGTCTAAAAATCCACTCTAAGAAGTTTGATAAATACGKGCCCAGGTCTACACAGATAGGTCTTGCTTATTGGCCTTCAGTTAGCATGTTAATATGTTTAACCAGAAACTAAAACAGACCGTGGTGCTCTGTTGTCCTGCCAGGCAGAACYCCCGAAGAAGCAGTCCAACTGGCGCAAGAAGCACGAGGACTTCATCGCCACCATCCGCGCCGCCAAGTCCCTTACTCAGGTCATAAAGGATGGGGGACCCCTCCCCCCGCCTCCTCCCCCTACATATGATCCAGGTAGTAGAGCACATCTTTAAACAACAGCGGCGGTAGGTCTGTCTGTTAAGTGTCGGGTGTTTTTTTTTTTTTTGTAGATTACATCCAGTGCCCTTACTGTCAGCGGAGGTTCAACGAGAGTGCAGCCGACAGACACATCAAGTTCTGCCAGGAGCAGGCGGCCCGCATGCCCAACAAAAACAAGTCAGGCGACGTCAAGAGGACTCCCGGGCGCACGTCGCAGGTAAACGTGTTTCTGTTTGATTGACTGAAAGCACTGCAGATGAATGATCTATTGTCAACGTAAAACACTGGAACAAGCACTGCTTTGTTCAACAGTTCAAAGTGAGCAAAGTGAAACTGAAAGGTGAACACTGACAACACTTTAAAATAACTGGAGCAGGAAATAACAGGATTCAAGCTTTTAGTGATAAAGTAAACTGCACATATGTTATAAAGCAAACAGTGCAAACAAAAAAAGATAAAGGAGTCTTAATGTTCGTTTAAATAAAGGCACTCAGCTGAACCAACAGACTTTGTGACAGAAAGCAACTGTTGCGTCTTCACTGCTGTAAGGTTATTACTAATGATGTCATATTCTTTAGTAATTCCTGACTCGTTTCTTATCGTTTTTTAGTACAAGCCTCCTACCCCTGTGAAGAAGGCCAACTCTCCTGCCGTGCAGACCATTTCCTCAGCTCCGTCTCGTTTGCCCCAGAGAGGACAGCCCACCGGTAAGGCAGCACAGCTCTGTTGTTCAGTTGGCACAGGGTAATATTTACGTTCTCATTWCTCAGCTTTGTGTTTGTGGCAGATCGTTTGACTTGCCTAAAGGCTTCGGCCTACACAGCACCTGTTTGTGAAGAGGGGAGGCTTACAGARCTGTTCATGACAAAGTCAAAACATTCTGTTTGTAGGATCGGATAAMTACATTTATCTGGTTTTATTATTAACTCGTGTTTAATGTYCCTGATCAGGTTGAAACTAATAACTAAATGAAACTGGCTCATCTGTCCACTAGGTGGCAGCAGAGCACACACAGACACTTGGCAGGACTCARCATCCTCTTGAGTTTTTTTTCCTTCTGTCTTTATGTAAATAATCAAGAGATGTTCAACCTTTACAATCAAAAGAACCACTTTTCCCGATATTTTTTTCTCAGTAAATAAAATGTGTCGAGGCATAAATAAATATGACATTAAAGAAAAGGTGATACATTGATGACTGACTTGAAGATTACTCTTGTTTGAGTGAATTTTTTTGGAAAAAGGGGCATTTATTTATTTTTTTATTCTTTCTGTTGCCTTTCATTTTGTTTATGATTTTTTAATTTGTTTATCATATTTAGAATTTGTTTTATTTTTAAATGAAATGAATAAGTCTCAAACTAATCTACCATTTTTGCACGTTGGAACAAAAGAAGATCAAAGTTAAGAGGAACAAATACATTATTTTTTTATTCACATTAAATAATGCAGGCCTGCTTCTATTTTTTATGTTTGCTGTAAATAATATGTTTATCACTTTGGAATAATAAAATAGAGTTAGAGCAAACATTACAGTTTATTTATTCAAAGACTTGACTTGATTCTCAGTATCTGCAGAGTGATTTGTGTAACGACATGTGCGTCTTTGCATTTTGAATTAATTGTTTTAAAAGTTTTATATGTTCTGATGGATTTTAGAAAGAAAAAAATCATACTTTTACTGGATGTATGGATGAATGAAGTGGATAACAAACTATTAGCACAAACTGATTGGTACGTTTTATTATTCTGTCACAGACATTTTATTCACATATTGCATAAAATTAGACAGGAAAACCTAAAAAAACCCTTTAATCTTGAAGTTTAAAATATAAACAAGATTTATTTGCATGTCCTTGTGGATCAAAGCCGTTGCAGAGAGTCTTAAGAGCCACATGTGGCTCCAGAGCTGCATGTTGCAGACCCATGCTATAAGAGTCGGTGGGTTTTAGAGCCAAGACTCTGACAGCTTTATTTATTCTTTCTCACAGACGTTACACAGATGTTTTAACTCTTTCCATCATATTCTAAACATCCAAACAACCCCATCTGCAAGATAAATTTGTGACAAAAATTCACTGGAAAAATGAAGATAAATTTCCAGCGTTTTGTGCTCGTACTAAAAATAAAACATTTAATAAACTCTCAAAGCTCAATAGAAAAAAAGAATAACACTTGTTTATGGTTAAATAGGAGTTAAAGTAGAGATGTGTCATCAATACGTTGCAAAGAAATGAAAGATTTCCTTCTGTATACAGTAAATGCATTTTAAAAAAAGTTAATACTGACACAGGTCTGCTGCTTTCTGCCACACACGCAGGCAAAGTTTGTAATCTGAACTACAATAACTCACACATTATTCTGCATTAATCATCTCCTTTTCCCCCTCATTCGGCAGGTTCAGTCAGGAGTAATCCCTCCAGCCTCACCAGCCCACCATCTGGGTGAGAGCACACACACAAATATAAATACACTACAGACAACAAAACACCTCAAACCTCGTCTTAGATGCTTTCCGGTTGCCTTCATGTGATTTCTGAATGAAAAGTCCAGCTATTTTCTTTCTTTTTTTGATAAGTTAAAGTTTCTTATTGTGTTTGTAAAATATGAAGTCTTTGATCAACATTGTACCAATGACCTGATAAACACGAGTGTAAATGCTGCTCAGATGCATGAATGAAGGTTATCCGTGTTTATAAACTAAAAGATTAACATGGTTTACATTGTGCAAATCATCCTTCCTGTGTTTTCTCTGATCCCTCTGTCAGTGCGGGAGGTAAGGCTCGAGTCGTGAGCTCCGGCTACGGAAGTTTGAAGAACTCTCAGGCTGGAGCCAATAAGAAGAAAGCCGACGCCCACATATCCAGGTGAACGGGGCTCTCTGAGGACAAGAGGTCCCTTTCYGATCTCCTCTGCCCTCTTGTGGTTGTTTTAAGTATTGCGTTAATTAACTTCACAAATGCATTAATTTAATTTAATCAGATTGCATTTAATGTTTGTTTGAAAGCTTCCTTTAGTTAAATCAGACACTTGTCAACATATTTGTAACATGTAGCATTTAGCTCACTTSAAGCTTCATGGTGAATAACTTAACCAGTCTTACCACTGAGGAAGACAATTGTGTCTTTTTCGASTGTTTTACTGCAGAAGACAACATGTTTAAAAAGGAAAGATGGCATACATCTGTAATCAGCTGAAACACTTAACCAGAAAATGCTCCTCCAGTAGCGAGAAAGCCCAACAGATCAAAGTTGGCGAAGCAGAATGAAAGTTGTGGAGTACTCCAAAAGTCCTGTCATTGTTTAGACCAGTGTTTCCCAAAGTTGGGGTCGGGACCCAAAGTGGGGTCCCGAAACATCAAGGTGGGGTCCTGAAAAGATTTTTTGAATTAATTACATTTTTTGCCTTAGTTGTTACAAATGATTGAGGTTAGTATATTTGAAATTGATAAATGTAGTATAAAAAATATTGTTACCGTGCCCATGTTTTGTTGACCTGATACAAATATTTATCATCCAAAAATAGTTGGGAGCACAGGTCTCTGCTACTGTTATTTTGTGGGTCAAAAGCTGAAAAGTTTGGGAACCACTGCACTTTGGTTCCCAAAGTTGGGCTTGGGACCCAATTAWGGGTCATGAAGCACCTTGGATAATCTCCAGAAATCAATTTAAAGGGTAATAAATAATTGCTGATGTAATATTTTCCCTATAATTATTAAAAAACACAAAATAAGTAAAAGTAAGTATTTATATTTGTGTATAAGCTGTTTAAATTGTCAAAAAGCCTGTGTTTTTAGGGTTATTAACGAAGTTCATGTACTCAGACCAGTAATATTTGGGGTCACAAGTTTTTGCCATGGATATTTTGTGGGTCAGAAGATAAAAAGTTTGGGAACCACTGGTTTAGACAGCTTCGTCAGTGAGTGTAATGACTTCTGTGCGAATACATTTCTAACTTGCTTCCTTGTTGTCTTTTTTTTTTTTCGACTTTACAGGAACGATGTAGATGGAGGAAGTGAAGTTGGCAACTGTGGAATGAAGGGCAAGTTCTGTCACGCCTGCGGTACCAAGTACCCCGTGGAAAGCGCAAAGTTCTGCTGCGAGTGCGGGGTCCGGAGGATGTGTATCTGATGGAGGTCAGAGGTCAGGGAACATAGAGGGGCCTGCACTTATGTACGCGTTGGGAAAAAAAAAATCACCAAAGCAGATAAAACATTTAAGACTATTAAAGAATAATTTCCATGTTTGGTCACGAACATGGATCCAGTTTCCTGGCGGCTGAGCTTTAGCTACAATATTTTTGGATGAAGTGTTAACAGTTCTTATTAAAGTCCTGGTCTGGCTTTTCCTTAAAACTTTGAAGGTTTGTTGTTCTGATTTACACCGGCTGATGCAGAAACAAATRCAAATCGTCTTAGTTTTCCACCCAGTTGCTGAATTTTCTCTGCAGTTTGCAGCATCGACCCGTTGAGGTATGCACTGATGCATAATCAGAATGGTAAAATGTAAAAAGAGAAAGAGGTAACGTGYAACTCACTGCAGAACAGAGTTTTTGTTGCTTGCTTCATCCTCTCAGAGTGCGTTTTTATTGAAGTGCAATAAAAATATATTTGACTACTGAAGAAGGCAAAGTGCTTTTCTAAGCAAAACAGGTTGGAACTTTTAAACTTTTATTTTGAAAGGGACCAGCCCTTAAAATGAACTAGCTAGGACTGGTTATCGCTCCCTTTAATGTCACTTTACATGTAATTTTTTTCCAGTAACACCAAACTGTAGCGTTGTTCTTTTTGTTCCGTCTTATTTTATACAATGAAAGTTATTTATTTACTTGTTCCATATCATTTTTAAGTGATTAATCAAGGACTGCATTGTTTGTTTTTTCTTATCTTGAACATTCAATAGATTTCACRTTTTTATTCTGAATTTGTATAAAAATAGACCAGACGTGGGTGTCTGTTGGTTTTTAAGGAGTCAGTATTTAATCCAACTATTTGTCTTCTCTGAGTTCATTTGCACGAGGAACAGTTGCTTATTTATGTCATTTGTACTCTCGCTAAGCATTATTTGAGTTATTTTTGAGAAGTTAGAAATGTACTCGAGAAGCAAACGTGACTTGAAATGTAGACATGGACTAAACCGACAACAGCTGATAACCTGTTTATCAACCATCAATAAACTTCTATGAAGACACCTGTGATCTGTTTCTAAGTATTTGCTGAGAGGAGGGGCAGGGCCTGTTACAAGAGCTCAGTTTTATTTTGTCTGTAGGGTTAGCAAAATATCTTCAGAACTGCTGGATGGATTTTATTGAAACTCAGTGTAATCATTGCATGCACATCTACAACTCATTACCCAACAGAAAAGTGCACAGCTCAGTCAGTTTTATAGATGCTAAGCTAAGACTTGGTGTGGTAGTTTCTGAGAGTCATCCTCAGCAAAAGCATAGAGCAAATAGGTCTTATGAGATCTCACAATGCCTTATGTACAAATTTATAAGAAAAAGGAGGGGCAAATCTCCACCAAAAAACTTTTTTTTGTGGAAAAAAAAAACGAGATTCTCTTATGTAGAAAAGTTGTAAATTTGAAAGAAAAAAATCTAAAAAAAATTTAAATGATTAAAGAAAAAGTTTCGACATTTAAACTAAATATTTGCTGACGTAAAGTCAGAAATTTACAAGAAAAAAAAACCTTGTAAATTTATCAGAAAAATCTCTGAAGTGTTTACGAATGGCTAAAATGCGATTCCACCTGTTTTCACTACCTTGAGCTTTTTTCATCTGCTCTAGTTTAAAAACCTGGACTAGATTATTCTACACTGATTGCAGAATATTTAAAACCAAGTGTGTGATGTGTGAAACATAAATTTGAAACATAAGTGTAAGTCGATTTCAGCATTTTTTTATGCATTTTATGAACCAATTGAGCATGGCCTGATGGAGAAGTGACTGAAGCAATAGGAGCGTCCAGAATAATTATGTATACAGAAAAATTTTTTTCAAAACTCTATGCGGACACGTGATATCACGTCAATGATTAAAATTGAAATTCATTGAAATTCAGAGTGTTTCTTGCAAATCTGYGACTTTTGGAGCTCAGAGAATTTACCTTGTTTTTTCTTGAAAATTTCTGAAATATCAAAATTTCGGAGTTTTTTGGCGGAGATTTGCTCCTCCTTTTAAAAATTTTTTTGTTTGCTTTTTTGTTTGTTTTTTGTATTGTTTTTCATTTGCAAAATGGTCCTAATACACCATCATACTCATGGGATTGTGCATATCATTCACCAGGTTTGACCAGAACATCGATGCCTCGTCATTAAATGACAAGAGAAATTAAAAGAAAAACCACTAACAAACCATTCATTTTGCTTTCTTACAAGGAAAGCTAAGCCTTTAATTTCTTATAAAAAACAGCTTGAGTACAAGTTTTATACATCTGTCCTTATCTTATATACCTGACATGAAGAATTAACTGCTGAAGGCCCAAAGGGCAAAGCCCTGCTGTTGATGTTGTGAAATCAGCCTTCCCTGCTACATGAGTGTCTTCATGTTGTTGTATTTTTTTTTTTAAATGGGGAGGTATCATTAATCACAGCACTGACTAAATATGGTGGGAAACTGTTCTTAGATGTCTCCCACAAACACAATCAAGCCCATAAGCTGAAGTCATTCATCTGTGGCGGGATCTGCTTTTAATATATCAATCAAACAGAATGTAACCGAAGAGAGCACCGATGACTTGACACAAAGCCTAAACTAACTGACTAGATGATCATGATAACAGACGTACACCAAGTCTTGTCAGGTCATTTGTAAAAGTGAAAGCAAAACTATGTGAGCACCTTTTAATATTTCCTGGTCATGCCTCAGCAGTGTTTGCTGAGTAAATCGAAGCTTACAGTCTTACAGGCATAAATCTAAACCCACAGAGGTCACTGAAACAGGCTAAAGCAAATAAAAAAAACAATTAATGAAAAGAAACTAATGAAAACCAGACATTGTTATTTAGGTGATCACTGAAATCAAGTGATTTTTGTAACTTTGAGACGAAACTGAAGACACTTGTGATGCTGATTATAGTGCAAAATTGTTATTTAGGTGATCACTGAAATCAAGTGATTTTTGTAACTTTGTGACGAGACTGAAGACACTTGTGATGCTGATTATAGTGCAACACGTCCATATAGTTAAATTATTTCCCATCTTTTCACAGGGCACTTTCATTTCTGTCAAGATTATTTTTTTCTCTAAAATACACTGCCTGACAAAAAAAAAAGTCACACTAATACTTCATTGGACCACCTTTAGCTTTGATTACAGCACACATTCACTGTGGCATTGTTTGGATAAACYACTTCAATGTCTCAATGTCTTCCAGTGTTGCATTAAWGTTTCAGTAAGATCTTGCATTGATGATGGTAGAGTCTGACCTTCTCYAGCACATCCCAAACATTCTCAATGGACTCTGTGGATCCAATCCATGTGTGAAAATGTCTYGTGCTCCCCAAACCACTCTTTCACAATAAGAGCCCAATGAATTCTGGCATTGTCATCTTGGAACATGGCCATGCCATCAGGGAAGAAACAATCCATTGATGGAATAACCTGGTCATTCAGTATGTTCAGGTCAGCTGACCTCATTCTTTGAGCAWAGACTGTTGCCCAACCTAGACCTGACCAACTGCAGCAACCCAACATCATAGCACTGCCCCCACAGGTTCGTACAGTAGACACTAGGTCTGATGTTCCCATCACTCYGGAACAGGGTAAATCTGTACTCATCAGACCACCATGACCTTCCATTGCTCCAGAGTCCAATCTTTATGCTCCCTAGCATTGAAGCCTTTTTTTCAGGTAGCATTATTGTTTTTCTTGAGGCTACACAGCTGTTCAGTCCCAATCGCATCATGCGYGTGAAAATGCTCTTACATTCCCTGATAAATATATCMCAGAGTTCTACTGTTGTTTTTCTTTGATTTGATTTCACCAAACGTTCACCAAACYGATCAGGATTTTTTTCCGGCCACATTTCTTCATTTCTTCCTCAAGGTAAATGGGTCCCCGCTATCTTTCCAGTTTTTAACAATGCATTGCACAGTTCTTAACACTGGTTTACTGGTCGGTCTACGTTCCTACCCTCATCTGTGGTCACGAGCTTTGGGTAGTGGCCGAAAGAACGAGATTGCGGATACAAGAAGCCGAAATGAGTTTTCTTCGCAGGATGTCTGGGCTCTCCCTTAGAGAGAGGGTGAGAAGCTCAGTCATCCAGGAGGGACTCAGAGTAGAGTCGCTGCTCCTTCACATCGAGAGGAGCCAGTTGAGGTGGTTCATCTGGTTAGGATGCCTCCTGGATGCCTCCATGTCCCACTGGGAGGAGACCCAGAGGAAGACCCAGGACACGTTGGAGGGACTATGTTTCTCAGCTGGCCTGGGAACGCCTTGGGATTCCCCGAGACGAGCTGGCCCAAGTGGCTGGGGAGAGGGAAGTCTGGGTCTCTCTGCTTAGGCTGCTGCCCCCGAGACCCGATCCCGGCTAAGTGGAAGAAAACAGACGGACGGACAGTTCTTAACACAATTTTAGTAGTTTCTGCAATCTACGATGYTTACTCTGCTTGATGCCAATGATTTGACCCTTCTCAAATGGGCCTTTTCCATGACCACGATATGTGTCTTTCCACATGGTTGTTTAAGAAATGAGAAGTATCTCATTGCACCTGTTGGGGTTAAATAACTTGTCGCCAACTGAAAGATAATCACRCAATAGGAGGCTTGCACCTATTTGCTTAATTAAATCCAGGTGGCGACTTTTTTTTGGCCAGGCCGTGTAATTTAACAATAGAAATCCAATGATCAATTTTCATTTGTCCATTTTCAGTGATTTTTCTTTTCTCGTCACTGTTGTCAGTTTTACATTATTTCAGTGACTATTAGAGGGTTTTCTTTCTTTAACAAAAATGTAAAACAACAGCTTTATCCATGTCTGCATACACATTTTTTTACAGGCACATGAGAAACTTATATTACTATGCWCAATTCACATCTTAAACCATTCGGAAGCCGTCACATCCTTCCTGGCACCTTGCACACATTCTTGAGATGCTTGCATAAATTCTTCATGTTATGATTCATTTACAGCAGTTGGTTCGTCCTCAGCCAGAGTCCAGTTTTAAATGTTTCCGTTTTTGTTCGTCTTAATATACTCTTATCTGAAGAGTTGGTTGTCATGMAACAGTCGAAGCAGCTGCAAGAGAGAGATACCGGTACTTGGCARGAAAGCTTAGAGTGAAGAAGCTTCTTCTTAGCTGCATAATCCAATAAAAAAAGGACTGCGTAGTACAGGAGAACTAGAAGCACATGAAGGTTTTCTTTTTTTTTTTTTAGTTTTGTAATGTCCTTGAGTTCAGGATCTCGTAGCACACAGTCATGSAAGAAAGAATTAGCTTGGCTTTGCAGAGATTTCCCCTTCTCTTCCCGTGCTTGTGCTTGCAATTTCTCGCTGTCACTCCATTTGTTGACCTCTCACAAAGTTTATAGGTCTGGTTGGAGAGAAAAAAACACAGATTAAAGTTCTGTCAAAAAGCCAATATATTTGATTAAAACCGTAAGCGTTCCTTTGACCACAAAGTATAAAATGTGGTTGAAAAAAATGTACTAATTGCAAGCGACATTAAAAAGGCAAACTTGTTTGATGAGGCCTTCAATATGACTCAGAATCAGAATCTCATTGAGATCTTATGACGTATATGACTGTATCAAAGTTCTCCATGACCATAGAGGGTGTGGTCCCATCACAGTCAGAAGATGGGTCATAAACAAAGAGCCAAATACGTTCATTTGTCTTAACCTCAGCCGMTGCTTCTCCTCAAGTTTCACTCACAGCTGGGAGTTTTACTGTTTTACCGTGACTCTGCAGGTCAGTGTGTTCRTGTTTGGTACTCTGACAAACAGTGAGTCACTCAAAACCTGATGAAAAAGAAACACAGCAAGCTGCCAACATTCCTCTGTAGATCACAAATGCCACATCTCAGGGAAATAAAAAAAAGAAACWATGACCATCCCACACAAAGTTGCCTCTTTCATTAAGTCAAGTCCAAAAAGCCTAGAACTGAAGTGTACTGTAAACTCTGAACCTCTTACCTGTATATGACGTCCACAAAGACATCCTATTGAGTCCTGGACAGAAGAGGCCAGTTC